GCATTCACATTAATAGTAAAACTGACGCAAACAAAAACACTTACACCATCATTGCTCGTTTAAAAGGTCTGGAAAAAGAAATTTATTATTTCTTGATTCTTTTTATTTAATTATGCGCAGCTTAGTAACAACGCTCTTCAAAATATTCCAGTTTTCAACAAGCACCTATCGAAATTACGAAGTTCAGGGTAAAGATATATACCCAGGTCCCAGGTGTGTGACAAAAACGCTATCGAAATCATTTACTGCAGGGCTCTCCATCCAGGTACTTACAGTCCACAGCAGAAGTAATGTGCGGTTTCAGTCATGGGTATGTTCTGCTTCTGAAGCTTAGGAACGATTAGCCAGACTATAATGAAACTTTTAATGTAGCTTTTATGTATCGTCATTCGTCACCCTTGCAGCTGCAACTTTAGCTATTAGACATCTTCTTTTCGATCACTCCGCATTAAACAATCGCCAGTCAAAGCCAACCGTTGAGATTGGTAAAACCCTACATTACTTTAGCGGTGGGCTGTACATTTACATTCCAGCACACAACTGAAAATTCTCAGCTCTTCACCCTACACATTTCCGTCCCATTTTGTGGCTCGTGCCATCCAAAATATCCTTGAGGCACCGACTCAGGCGCAGCTTTCGCGGGGGATTAGGGTAAATGACCTGCCGGCTTATCCCATCAGTGCAGTGGCCAGGAGCCTCGCCGCTGCGGAGTCTCACAGGTCTAGGTGGGACACGCAGTGCCGTCAAAATCGCGTTGAAGAGTGAACCGGGCTCGTCCTACCTGACGGAAGATAGATCAGAACTGCCGAATATTCGGCAACTGCAGATGCGATCTCCAAGCTTCAATGTGTGTTTTTGCGAGCCTCTTTGCACCTAATGGTAGATCCTTGAACATAGAAGTGGCTACTTACCTAATGATATGACAGGCAGAGATGATGCCTAATGTCATGTCAGTCATCAGTGCTAATATGTATGTCCTCATAAGACTCCAACATTATTTACGATGATGCCAGCCATCGCCAGCCGTTACGCGCCTGTGGCACCGGGTGTCGGTAGCATTAGCAGCTGCAGAAGCCCCCCCCCCCCTCGAACCGGAGACGCTGAACGTCCCCCCCCCCTCCTCCCCCAGACGGTGAGGGGGGGGGGGGTAGTAAAGGCGACTCGGCCGGAACCAGTGGATCAATGCGGCATTTTCAATCAGTCTTCAGCCGAGACATGGTGTGGGCGACACTCTGAGCAAACAACGAACAAACAAACGGAAAGCGGGCAAAACAGAGAGCGACGCAGCACCGAGCACCAGTATTGTTATCAGCCTTGGTGACCCTGCCAACTACAGCGCAGTATGTCGTTTCACAACATCGCGCTCACCTCCCGAAATAAGCAGGCAGTGACGGCAGGGAGGGGAGGGGAGGGAGGGGGGTCTCTCGTCGGCGGCGTTGTGTCCCTGATTGACCTCCTTAGAGCCCGGGGGCCGGGGAGGCGGGTCATTACCCCCGGACAATCCGAGGCCGACGGGAGACGGGGGAGGAGGGGGGGGGGGGCTATTGACACGGGGCTGTTAGCAGATGGCTGAGCCCCCGATCAGATGTCAACGAAACGACATCAAAACGATGGTAAATGACAGCGAATGAGGTCCGGTAGCTTACGCAATGGCAACGGGTATTATTGCTTGTTCAGAGTATTTCTCATAAGTATAGGTATGTTGCTAAGCGCAATGTTGATATTGTGATGGACACGGATGTGCAAGTTTAGCACACTATTCCTAGAATCCAGTCCAATATCGCGTTAGTAGGGCTTTATGATATTTTCAGAGAGTGTTTCCGGCTTCCCAAATTCCTCACATGTTTAATCAGGCGCAGAGAGAGATGAAACCTTTGAAAAATTGCCTCGCAACATTTTAGCGGATCTACGCTATAGACGGCAGTTAGCGGCGGCGAATTATCTGTTTTACCGCAATCCAGTCTTCAGATTTGGTCTTTGAACGGTAGCGGCGGCCACTGAAGGCAGCCTCATAGCGTCCCCAGAAACCATCCAATCGCGATTCTCCGGCGCACCGCGCCGAGTAAGCCGGCGGCAAGATCCAATCGTGATGAACGGAGCGCAACTCCGCAGGCGGATGGGCCCAAGGGCTTTCCAGAGAACGGACCTAGTCCATCGGGATGTATATCTGAACTTATGAGACCAATTGTTCATCTTACCAAAAAACGCCAAGTTATAAGTGCTTACTACTAAATCTGGCAAACGCAAGACAGAACAGAGCTTCAAATGCCAGCCAGATGCCATCCAAGGCTTTTCTAGTCCACCTCACCTACTCCCTCTCCGATCGAATTTGACAGCACCCACACCTCCTGTATCTCCGTCATCAGTCATCCATATGAACAGCGCATCCCGCGAACAGCAGCATCAAGGCAAAATAGTATTCTCCAAGAAGCTTGCTAAGCTCGTCAGCCGTCTGGTCCAACCCGTCTGGCCTCAGTGTCCACCTCCGCGCCGGGACCTAGCTCAGCATAGAGCAAACACCTCCGTGGCCTGTCCACAACTTGTGCCGATCTCCCGGGAGTCTGGCCGCCGGTCCCGCGGGCCATCTTCCATCCGCCGCCGGGCTCGGAGCCAGTCATGCAGCCAGTGGGCCGGGTTGAGAAGCCGACAACTTCACGGCTCGTGTCCGGCCTGAGCGGGCTATCGCAAAACTTTGCCCAGGGGCTGAGGAGGGCTGACGGCTCGTCACATGAGCTGAGGGTCGTCAGCGAGCCGACCGCCGAGCGGCGAGCGCTGAGCGGCGATAATCGGAATCTGTTGAGACAGACGGTGGCACCAGCCTGGCGGCGGTCATAGGCACCGTGAGGGATGGAACAGCGGCCAAGCGGAGGACATGCCCCCTCGGTCAACAACGATCGGAGCTGGAATGGAACTGGAATCACACTTAGATTCGACTGGAATTCAATTGTTATTGGACTGAGATTGCTATCGGCCGACAGCTCGACTAGAAGTTGACAGGCTGGATAAAATTGGGCAAACAGACGCATCTGTGACCTGTCTCACCCGAGCTTCCAACACGGTGGGACATCCCGGCGGGACAACACACGACTTAACCTTTTTTTAGGCCAACTTCAACAAATGGGGCAGAAACTACATTTCACGGGAAACCCGTGACGATGCGTCACGCTGGACTGACACTCTGTGACGTTACATCACACTGGACTGAAATCACCTGCCCCTGAGCTGACGTCAGCACACCGTCAGACTGTGCTGACGGTGTGCGAAAACACACACAAACTCGCCGTCATAGTTCACCAGTCCCTGGGCTGACGTCAGGGCACCGTCAGCACACTGACGTTGTTAACCCGGCAGTTGCTGGGGTATTTCGCCACCCACCGTTTGCTGGGGGGGGGGGGGGCGTTAAACGCCCCCAGCCGATAACTCGAGAACCAATAGGCGCAGCGAAACGCACGAGGCGGCAAACGAAAGAACGCGACGAGACGCTTCAGATGAGTACTTAAAGTTGAATTTTGAGGTCACAGGTCGGGTCAAGGTCAGGTCAAACACCTGAAATCAGGCTTTCAGTAGCATGGACTTCAGGACTTCGCAATGGGCGCCTCTCGTCATAAACTCTGTCAAAACGGTGCACAATCCATCATATAAGGCCTACAAGAGTGTCAGCTCCATGTAGGGGTCAGTCAAGCATAGGTCAGGGTCAAGGTCAGGTCAATCGGGTAGGCACATATCCCCGAAAATCAAAACTGATATTCGCAGCCTGTGACACATGTTTTATGGGTAATTTGGGGCGTAGATCACGATGGTGACATTCATTTTATCATATGTGTACGTGTTTGGCTAAAAAATTTCAATTTAAGAAATGCATGTATCATGGTCGTGAAGTACCTAGTTAGTCACGAGAAATTGCCTAGATTCAGTTCAAGATTTTGGAAAATGCGGAACGATAATCAATAATTGAAGATAGCCATTTAATTGTTCAAGGTATTGGCAGTCTAATGGCGTTTACGGCATGTCTGTATGTCTATTCTGTGATTTTATATGATATTTTGAACATATGCCGTTTTTGGTCGAAAACTTTGTCACAATAAACTTCAATCAATTCCCTACAGGTACCCAAAGTTTGGCGCACCTGCGGCGCGCCGTTTTTATGCTATGGCCCGGCGAAAAAAGTGGGGGCGTTTAACGCCCCCCCCCCCCCCCAGCAACTCGCGGGTTAACTCCAGACAGAATAGCGCCCACTGGTTCGATACCAGCTGAGCCCTGGAGCTCACAACAGCTTGCAGCAAACAAATGGACTGCATCGTACGAGACGACGCCGACGTCCATCGATTCCAAGTCCCCGGTCAATCAGTGGCTTCAGACAGCACACTCCAGCGGACCCGCGAAGGGTCCCGAGGTCATATTTCTTCTGAAGCGCATACTTCTGATCATGGTAGCCTGATGTCATGCATCAAAGCCGCACCAGTGAAACCTTATTTATTTTCATTTGCTGTTTTCCAGAAATATTGAAAAAGTACGAGACCGCGATAACTCATCACTATGAAAGGTTAGATTCATTGGCCTTTGAAGTTTGAGCTACTACAAACGATTAATTAATTATCTTTTTTATAAAATCGATATGATAATGGTGTCAATATTTACACCATAAAGAAATAATGTAAAAAATTACAGTCGGAGATCCTACTATTCATGTGCCCTTGAAGGTCGGTATAGCTTGGCTCTGACGGCCATCGGTAATTTACCCTAATGAGCAAAGGCCTCCACATGTTTTACAGATTTCCCGCTGCGGTAAGTCCCGCTGGGAACGCAGCGCAGATCACTTCCCTCATCAGGCCGCTGACCCAGGGTTATACATAGAGATATCGACTGATAGTCTCTGATTCAAGGCGACAGAATTCATTGACCAGCGGCGGTAGGAGACCATTGACCAGGGTCATTGGGAGGTCACTAACCCACTGCGTTAGGTCACTAACCGCGGGCTGGTGCCTAAGCCTTTCACTCACCCTGGGTGGAAGGCGCGCACGCCCGGGTACGGTTTGATGTTGGTCGAGCTGGGCGTCAGCTCTCCTGCCGCGCTGTCGATGCGCGACGCCTGGTACTTGTCGCTCCAGTCATGCTCCAGTGCCTCCTTACAGCGCCGGTCGGCGGCCAGCACCCGGTCGGCGGTGACTGACGTGTCCTCCAGCAAGTCACGGGCGCGCTTTATGACGTCCATCTCCTGCGCAGAGAAAGATACACAAAATACACATCACACAGTGAGGGAGGAAGGTGCTCTGTGACAGAGGACCGTCCCAGTGGACGCGTCGAGTACAGCGATCAGTGCGAACAACAATGACAAATAATTACAGAAAATGCCCAGCAACTACCAGAAAGTGCTCTACATGACACAGACAATCCACACAGACGTCACATGACCACCTCTGTACTCACAACGATTGTTATCAAATAATGTTATGCGTTGAATGAATATTTTCCTATCAACAACATCCTGCGAAGACCCCAAAGTATCCCAATCCCATCGTCACAAACTCCGTCCCCTATGGCCAGTCTTCGGGCCCCGTCTCGTTCACGGCCTTGTCTCCGAGGCTGTCGTTGGCCAACTCCCCGGGGAGTGCCAGCGACCGAGAGCCACTCCAAACCATCAATCTCCCGTCGCCACAGCGTCCGATGGTCGGCCCCGGAGGACGGTGCCAGCTTCCGGCGCCGGATGCCACGCCACTTGGCCAGATTGAACCGAGACGGTGTCAGCCTGGTGGCGTCAGCTCCGTACTGACGTTACCACACTGACAGTGGTTTGGTGGAACTGATAGTCAGTTCCGCAATTTGGTGGTGAAAGTTCGGAAGCGTCAGTCCGGTGACGTCAGTCCGACGACGAGAGTTCGTCAGCAACGTCACTTCAACACAGTAGGACTGATATTCTGCAACGTCAGATCAACATAGTAGGGGACCATAACGTCATTTCAGCACAGCATGACGTTACTCAAGCACAATAGAAATATGACGTCAATCCAGTACCGTGCAACGCCGTGACGTCACTCCACTACAGTGTGAATGTGATATCACTCCAACAGTATGAATGCGGCGTCCATCCAGCGGCGAAAGACGACCGGCGACGACAACTCAGAACCATGTCAGCACATCGCTGACAGGGCAGCGACCCGGTTAGGTACAGGTCTCGCGGGTTTTAGCGGTAGGTTTTGCACCTAGAAAATTTAGTGTACTTTAGGCTATATCTTCGTCGTCTTAAGCTTTTAAGTGTTGAAGATGCGATCGACTTGTTGGGTAACAAGCCGGCCATGATCGTGTAAAATGGCTTCATCGTAGATCGATTAGTTTCTGAGATATAACCGGAAATGTAAAAGTGCAAAACCTACCGCTTAATCTCGCGAGACCTGTACCTCGACCATCTAGCGTCAGCGGCTGCGGTGCGCTACACTGGGTCAGACATCCAGTGACCCGACCCGGTCCACGCGGAGGGCAGGGTCACCGTCGCACAGTGGGCGATCCGGCCGGTGTAGCCTCGCGAAACCTATCGGCATTCATAACATCCATGTTTTTGAAGCTAGAACCACAATATTTAGGAGCAACCTTCTTGAATTTCCAATGAGCATATGTTTTAAATAAGGACTATCTCTTTTAGGATTTGTGCTCTGTGGGGAGCTTGCAATTTGCCTAATTGCCGCTCGAATAACGCATGAATACTTTTGATGGTAGGTCGAAATTTATGACTATATGAGCTGGGTAGGACATTGAAATGGTGTGTACCTCCGTAGAAAATTGCTTCCAAACCAACTTTTTATTCAAACGATTATGCCCTTCCAATTTATACATATCATGAAACAGCGTAAATCTCGCCCGGCAAGGCCCCATTTCATAACGTGACCCAAGCAGCGGTTTTGGTTTTTGGTAAATAATTTCGCAAAAAATGGCCGCGGAACCACGATTTTGACATCGTCGTGTTCACCTTGCTCAGGCGCGTCGAATGGTATACTTTTTGTTCAGGTGAGGTCACCGTAAGGTGTTGACCTCGAGTGAAGGTCAGGTCAGAGGTCATCAAATCACGAAGTTGTTCGAAGGAGGTCATATGTCATATCATTCGATTCGGCAGGTCTTGCGGAGTCCAGTGGTGACCTTGTCGACTCTCTAGCTCAATTTGATCGGGAGTTATTGACGAAAAACTCGTATGACCCTAGTGACGTCATAAATGACGTCATGCAAGGTCAACAATGCAAAAATGCAGCATCAGATCTTGCAAGGAGTGCATGAAGTAACGATTCCATGTACTTGAGACAATTGAATATCATTCCTGGCGCCAAAATAACAGTTTCCATATTTCCCCATTGACTTATAGGTGAGGTCACGTGACCAGCCTGACTTTATGTGACATTTAGGAAAAATCTGAGATATTAAAGTTGTAAGACCTCTAAAGGACAATAAGTCCTGCAAGTCTCACCTCCCTGTGAAAGTTACTCTGGCACTGAGAGCGTTGCAAGTTTGCGACATCTGAGGATCGTGCAGAGGTTCATTTATGACGTCATAGGTCAGTGACCTGACCTGACTTGAAAGTGCGGTTGATGTCACAAGATCTAGCGTGCATCAAAGGTCAGGTATACCAAGTTGCAGCTCTCTATTGCCTGGGCGTTTTGAGCTATCGCGAAAACACCCTTTGGGGCATTTACCACTTGTGCTCAAGTGCACCGAACCACGGCCAACCCTTTGAAGAAAAAAGTATCTGGATGCCAGGGCTGCAAGTGGCTTCAAATTTCACTGGCTCCCCTGATAGATAAAGTCTTAGTGCATGCGATACAGCATTATATTCAGTTCATCCTCGTAAAATTTTTTTGCTGGGCTTGGTTAATTCAGTGAGCGTAATGTTCAGTGGTAGAAAAAAAAAATACAAAAAGTTAACCTAATTATAAGACATTTTAAACTGATTTTGTCTACTTGCTTTCAATGGCGGAATCGTCTAAACATTTAAATCTCACTTTCCATGCAAAATAGATGCTCAACACCTAGCAATTTCATCGTTCCGCAAAGTATTCAAAGAGCGTAAAAATCGGCTGTGATTATCCCCCTTATGAAGTGTTACGGAACGCTGTTTTTAACGATACTTTTGTCTACGAAAAAAATGTCTCCTGAGCCATGCAAATGCACTAATCGTAATCTTTGATGAATTTTCTGTCGACTAGTATGCGTTGTTTTCCAATTTTCGGAAAAAAGTGCCTTTGAGGTTTCGGGAGGCTAGACCGGCCCGATCGCCTACCGTGCGTCGGGGCGGCGCGGCGCTCCGTTGCGAGTTGCGACAGACGGACAGCGGCCGAGCGTCGAGTGCAGCGTCCGCACCCCACGGGGAGCTGTCCGGTCCATCTCGGCGATTGTCTAACTGGGATCGACTTCAGTAGGAGGCCGTCCAGTGCGTGTGGCTCATGGAATCTTGAACGAGACTTAATTCTTCGTCTCTGTTTTACTTTTATAACTAAGTGTGAGTACAGTCAGTTATAAAACTAAGTGAAATAAAACTAAAAACCCCTCTCTCTCTCTCTCTCTCTCTCTCTCTCCTCTCTCTCTCTCTCTCTCTCTCTCTCTCTCTCTCTCTCTCTCTCTCTCTCTCTCTTCAGCCCGGAACCACTGCACCCATCCTCTCCCTTGTTCCTTCGGGCTGTCTCCGACAGGTTCGCTTTAAACCGGCGCCGTGGCTTGGTATTGACACAGCTCTCCATTAGTGACTGAGTGGCGGCGGTTCGTACACACAGACAAACCGAACAGCGGTGGATATAAGCGCAGCTCTCCGCCGCAGCAACCCGCGCTGTTTTCAGCCGGAAGCCTAGCCCCCCGGCGGCGGCGGCGGCGGCGCTCCGTCCCTTTGTCCGTTGTGTGTTTGAAAGCCGCGTGGTACGCTGAGCGCTGAAAGGATTGTCCCGAGACGACAGCGCAGGTGGATTTCAGCTGTGGCTTTCATTGGTGTGTTTCAGCTGCGACGTTGTTGATGGCGCGCAGGTAACCTCCTTTTCGTACCGGGGTGGCGTGAGCTGTAGTTGGCTCTCAGAAGCATGATGCGATTTTTAGGGAGTTGCAGAACGTGCAGGTAACGAGATACCTACTTATGTATTCGTGGCGGATTGATAATACGTCTTGCTACGAGCTACCCTCTAAAATGGCTGCAAAGAAAAAAAGAATAATCCTCGGAACAAATCACTGAGGCACAAACTTTCTCCACATTTTCACTTTTTACCAGAGGTCATACGCTCCTCCACATAACACACACCAGCCCACGGACGGAGTCCATGCCTACATACACTCTACAATACCTAGACAGTGTAGGTATGGGTCAGTGACCATACCACGCACCAGCTCAGTTTCGAGCTCGCAGTCTCACCTTCATAAGAGCCACATCCAGCTGATCGGTGACAAGATCTCCGTCGATCCGACGACGGCGGGTATCCAGGCTGTCGGTGACGATCATATACGGCACCTGTGAGGGAGATTACGATCATATACGGCAGCTGAGAGGCAGATTACGATCATATACGGCACCTGTGAGGGAGATAACGATCATATACGGCACCTGTGAGGGAGATCGCGATCATATACGGCACCTGAGAGGGAGATAAAGATCATATATGGCACCGGTGAGTGAGATCACGATCATGCCTAGCACCTGTGAGGGAGATGACGATCATATACCGTGAGGGTGAGATGACGATCATATACGGTATGCAACTGTGAGGGTGGGACTATACATATAGACAACTGATACTGTCGGTCGGAAATGTCTCGTATATCTCAGATGTTGACTATTCTTGACATTTGTTCGCGGAGGTACGGGCATTAACCCGGTGGCCGCTGGGCCTCCGCGCCACCCGCCGGCCGCTGGGGGGGCATATAGTTGCCCCCCCCTTTACTTCTGCGACGATATCGTCGCAACGCGAAGAGATAGAGAAGCGAAACTTTGCACACATCTTTCTGAATACCTAGCCGAGGTTGTGTCCAAATTTGGTGTCGATCCCATTTGAAATGACGTCACAGTGACGTCATAAGTGGAATTATAGATTTGCGACTCTCATATTCCTCACGATACATCAGATATATGGGACCGAATATAAAGGGTCGATTATTGGTCAGAAACTAGATGGAAGTGTAGTTAGATGTTTTAGGATGACAGCGGGTGCTATCTAGTTCATTTACAGTTGAGTTTCATGCTCAGCGTTGTAAGAAACGGTCCATATCGGAAAACGACAAAACTTTATGACGTCACTGTGACGTCATCTTAGGTGTTACAACCACCAAACTTTCCTCAAACATTGCCTAGGTATTCATTTGAAGCTATGCCAAGTTTCACGTTCGTAGCTCATCAGGTTTCGGAGATATTTCACAAAACGTAAAGGGGGGGCAACTTGATGCCCCCCCAGCGGCTCGTGGGTTAAAGGTAGTGTGCCAGCTTTCCTGGACCGTATGGAGTTAATGGCCCAGATAAGGAGAACCGGATTTTTAGAACTTATCCATACCTTCAAAACTCATGGAAACGTCTTAAATTCTTCAAATTTTGAGTACCCCAGTGCGAAATTCGCCCCGACGCGGACGGGTTGTCGGTCGTACCCCAACCACATTTCACACCACTATGAACAATAAATGCACACACTGAAATCGCTATTACCGATATGCTCATCCAATCAAGTTTCGATAAACCCGTTCATCATCAGCTCCTGCGGTTTCGAACACGCCTGTTAGGTGGTGCGGTAGACCGCGCCCAAAGCCAGGGCCCCGGTAACGTGAGGTAGCCGAGTCGGGGCAGCGTGCGCTGACCCAAGCCGGAGCCGCGCGTCCTCCCGGTGTCATGTGATAGCCCGGGGCTGCCCGCGGGGATGCGGTAGACCGCGCCCAAAGCACACAGCCGCTATCAGGTTCAGAAGTGGCCAATACCCTAATTTTCGACAAATTTTAAAGCGTGATTTTCTCACATTTTCTGGTCGTAAATTGATCAGACTGTATAAAATATCATCCAGAAAAAATATTACTCATTCTGGTACAGATTGGTGGGCTCCCAAAGAACACCGTTTTGTTTTGCTCCGTGAGACCGAACTTGTGCTGCGATTTTCATGTAAATGTTGACGAGTCTCCTGTCATATTCTTTGCTTGAAAATGCGCAAGTAAGATATCAGCTGAAAGGGGAAAATGTGCGGAATCCATTGGTAACAAAAGTGCATCTAAAAAACTTCCCAATCAATTATTATAAGCTAATTGTTGCACACTTGCACAAAGCAGAAGGGCTTGAGGATTTAAATATTTACATAGGCCTACCAAAAAACGCACAGCGTGCTTCACATCGAGGCAACGTCCATAACATATACCGTACAATTGCGATTCATTTGCTGCAAAAATTAGGTCGGCATCACACTGCCGGCAAAAGTTATTGCAGTTCTAGTGACGCTAGGTCGCCGCCCGGCCGACCCCGGTCAGGTCGGCCGGGCGGCGGCCGTGCAGCTGACGTCCGTAACGGTTCGGCAGCTGACCAATCAGCTGCGAGAGAGGAGCGCGGTCCGTCTAATCGCCCCCGGCAGTTGCTTGTGCTGAGGGGTGCTCGACGCTCGTGTCGATTGCATTTGTTGGTTGTCGATTGTCGAATGACTTGTGGGTATACCTTCTGGTGACCAATAAATGTACGTCGTCTTAACAGAATGTAGTCTGATCAAATTCAATAAAGCAAAAAGACATCCAGCCAACAGAATATCGTAAGAATGTCCGATATGGTTGATAACATTCAGAGTTTTGGGGAGCAGCCATCGACCAGAATGAACGTCATTGGCTTTTGTATGTAACATTTGCATTGCTTTTGGAAAGTTTCAATCAGATATCTTCAGAAATGGCAATGTTATTGGCTTTTGCATTTTACCGTAGTCAGTTAATCACAATTTTCGATATTGCAAAGGCAATTTCAGTACGTTCTTGACATCGAAAACCAAAATGAATAGCATCATCGTGTTCCAGAGCTCAAATTGCATCCGATGCACATCTTTTTTGTTGATAATGCTCAACTTCAAAATTTGACCTTTTTGACCTCGCCGTGACCTGACCTTCATTTGTCGAATGGAAATAGTTTCGAATCGGACGACCCAGATGACATCATTTGGAGATGCTTTTGCCGAAATGGACCATTAAAGATGTGTCGCATGACCTTAAAAATGTATACATTTCCTCCCATGACCCTTTCCATGACCTTTTGTGACCCATGACCTTTCCATGACCTTTTGTGACAAAGTTACGTTTCGTTTATCAGCTATTCCTATCAGAAGCCGTTTGAACTTTTAGTATTGAACGAGTAGTTTCGAAGACAGCAGGGAAGCTATGCAGAATCCCCTCCCGAGTCACCCACGTTATGGGATATACCCATCATCCGCGGATTACAAGCAAAAATATTTTTTTACGGCAATGATGTATCAGCATGGATGCTCATACGTTCCCATATGTGACCTTACGGTTGACTTCACATACAATAAAAATTCCTTGGCAAAATGTCAACTGGTTAACGAGTTATCGCATTTTGGCCACTTCCGAACTCAAATAGCGGCTGTGTGCAAAGCTGCGGCCCCGGCTTGGGTCAGCGCACGCTGCCCCGACTCGGCTGGGGCATTCCACGTCAAATCAAACACCGAAATCCGTCATCCCCTTCGATTTTTCTGAAAATTTGTAGGCAGACTGGGCATGGTTCAAAACTGAGTTACGTATAATATTTTCGAAATTTGATAACGTATCGCTGAGATATAGGTCATCGAATATAGCGAAAAATGCCACACATCAATTTTTTAAATGGCTATAACTCTGGTTCCTTTTCTGAGGCCTGTTTCACTAACAAATAAAGTGTGTAATTACAAAGAAAAAACTTGAGTTTAAAAGAAATAATTACCAACAATTGAAATTTGGATTTCACGAAACCTTCGGGCATGAATTTTGAGTTTAAAATTTACCAACTTTTTTACAAGAAAAAAGTTTGTAAGAAACATCGAAATCGCAAACTTTCTGTTTCACGAAGACCAAAAACTTGAAAGAAAACGTTGTACTTACAAACCCGAAATTACAGTGGCCCTTACGTTTGAAATTTTATTACTTTTTGTGCAATGATGCAAAGCAATCAATTATTTAAAACAAATATGATATGCTGAGTCATTATATGCTCTTTTTCACTTAGCACATTCCCTACGAACCAGCTACGAGCAATAAATAAATATCGTCATGTTTTGTCATTCGCGCGCCATAATTGCATTCAACAGTCTTCTGCTATCAAATGTTTTACGTGTTATTTTCTTTCAATAATAAGATATCGTGATCTATCATTTATACCATTCAGAAACAGCATCATTATTTTTAATTTATTCCTGCAATTTCTGACATGAATACTAGACATAGTTTGATAAAAAGAAGCAATATCTGTAACATGTTATAGTTCTTGATTAAAAACAATTTTACTGTTTACAAGTTTATTTACCAACTCTTTTTATCGGAGGTGCCGCTGGTGATGAAGTTTAGTGAAATCCAATTTTACATAGTTTGCAAAAATACTTATGAATTGTAAAGTTCAAACACTTGTAATCGCAAGTTTTTAGTGAAACAGGCCTCTGGTATCAAAATGATATTAACAGGGTCTTATAGGCAATTGATAAGGCTTTGATTTTTAATTATAAAATTAAATTGAAGTGACCTTGAAATGCTTTTGACCTTGAATTAAAACAGAAAAATTTAAATAGCAAAAAACACATCACCTTCGATTTGGCTAATTTTTACATATTATGTCCGTCACAATGTTCCTAACCATCTGTGAAAAAATTGGAGTGGGCCATTCATAACTTTCGCGGCAAACGCCGTTTTCATGCATCAACATCACGCAACCGCGCGTGACCTTGAAAGACAGAGTCAAGACATGCTTGCTTGTGTACACTTTCTGAAATGAATGATTGCTGATTAGTGATATCCTAAACTCTGCGAGAATGGAAATGCATAGTCATCGTAGTCAAGCATTCACGTTCCATAATAAAAGTGTCTCAGGCAAACGGTATTTTGCGGTGAATTTTGAGCCGTGTGGAAATGCATCATGAAGTAAATTCAACGAAAACATTATCACGCAACGATATCTTCACGTCTTTTGATCTTCACTATACGAAAGAACATACATTTTATAGTATGTATGGGGAATTCCTAGTTAATCCAATAATAAATATGGCAGTTAAAGGCCTGCTAAGAGTAACATGTCGCCGGCTGCAAGGCGGGCTCGGCCGATGCGGGAAATGCAGCAATCACAATTTTCTGTTTACACGTTCATATTTCAATTGTTTACCAACCGATTTTCAAAGTTCTTTCACCATAAGATTGCCTGTACATTTCTTAGTCTTCTCACAAAATTGGACGCGAATCGAACGAAATCAGCGGTAGGGAGCGCGATGTAAAGACGGAACCGTTCCGTTCCGTCCCGGCACAGTCTAC